CCTTTCCTCAGCTTCTCTACTTCAGCACTCAAACTTTAAGGTGCAGAAGCATCGCCTGGGACTCCTATTAAAATGCAGGCCTGACATAGGAAGCCTGCGGTGGGGCCTGAGAGCTTGCATTTCTAACCAGCTCCCAGATGAAGCACTTTGAACAGCAAAGATCTGACTAACCTAAATGAATGACTGGGCTACATTCAACAGGAACCCAGCCACATTCTTTTTAAGAATAAAAATACACAGGCATATATAAGCCCTTCAACTAGGAATGAGAACAACAAGATGGAAAATACAGGGTAAGCACTGCCGGGGCAAGCCTGCTGTCTGCACAGCACTCCCTGCTGCTCTTCCCACTGGGTCATGAGACTTAAACGTTCAAGGTCCTTATGGGCTGAAATGTGTCTCCCTAAAATTCACATGTTGAAGCCCTACCCCCAGTACATCAGAATGTGACTGTATTTGGAGAGAGGGCCTTTGAAGAGGTAATTATGTTAAAATGAAGCCCTGAGGGTGAGCCCTAATCCAATCTGACTAAGAAGAGATGAAAACACACAGAGGCTGGCTAGGGCTGCAGCAGGCACAGAGAAAAGGTCATGTGAGGACACAGAGAGAAGCGGCCACCCATGAGCCAAGGACAGAAGCCTCAGGAGAAACCAACCCTGCGGGCACTTGATCTTGATTTCTAGCCTCCAGAACTGTGAGCAAATAAATGTCTGCTATTTACCCACCCGGTCTGTGGTATTTCATTATGTCAGCCCTAGCAAATTAAATTAAGGTTTGGTTTTTGTTCCTTGATACTACTTTAATGCATCAAATTTTCACCGCATGCCTGCTTGGTGAGAAGCAGAGTTCCAGGAGTAGGTACACAGAACGATGGAGCCAGTCCTTGCCCGGGTGCTGCTCCTGTTTAAAGGGAAACTCCAAGACCACCAAACTCAGATGATGCAAATTCAACATGAGATGCTGAATACTGTGACAGAAGTAAAACCAAACGCTGCAAAAGCCAGAGGAAAACAAAATCATTCTACCTGGGAAGTGGGAGAGAGAAGTGATCACAGAGAGCTTCAAAGTGGATTCTGACAGGTACAGAAAGGGGAAGTATCTCCAACGATAGAGAAACACAGGTAAAAGCCCAGAGATACCAAAAAGCCCACTGCCCAGGTTCAAGCAGGGACCAATGTCTGCCAAGGCAGGGTGGAAATGCCGGGAGTGCTGGGGCTGCGAGAACTGTGAGATAGGACATGTGAAACTGAGGAGATCACTGCCTTTGGGGGCCAGGCGAGGAAGTTTGGACTTTAATTTCTAGAAAATGAAGATTAATGAAAAAAAGGAAAGTAGATTAAGGGGCAAGAGAGTACATTGTAAAAGATAATAAAACTCTCATTATCTAACTGCCTAAGAATTGCCTCTTGAAGATAAACACTCTTCCCACTGTCATTAGCTACTTGCAAAGTGACCCTGAGCACTTTATTATCTCATACTCTGTTAACTGGGGTGTAAGGAAGAGGTTGCCATCTGCTGATTTCCAAACTGGGAACTAGGGGGTGTGACAGCTCTGGATTAGTGGCACCACCCAGGGAGTCAGAAAGCCACCTGAAAAGTAAGATGCAAGTTCCTTGGAACAAAGCCCGAAGGCCCATTCTTACCATCACTGTGCCACCAGCTGGGCTGAGAACAGCCACAGCCTTTTGTCAAAGCACATGTCCACCCAGCAGCTTTCCCTCTCCCTCTACCCCTATCCAACAGGACCTTGCATTTCACTCATCCAGATCAAGCAAAGCCATCGAGGAGATTAAAAAGAAGGGAAGGAAGTCATTCCTTGGCTTTTGAGCATCCAAGAGCTCAAGATCTGGTGATTTCCGGGAAACCTAAGGGACTTTCGAGAGTAATTCTGACTTTAAGGTATCTTTGCCTTACATACCGACTTGAAACTCCTACCCCTGCATGAAATGGGTTCCCCTATATTCCTGAAGCAACTGCTCATGATGCATGCTGGCAAGCTAATCTCAAGTCTCATAACTGCCAGGCCGGTGTGGCTCAGTGGTTGAGCATCGACCTAGGATCCAGGCAATCGGGGTTTGATTCCCAGTCACAGCACATGCCCAGGTTGCAGGCTCGATCCCCAGTAGGGGGCATGCAGGAGGCGGCCAATCAATGACTCTCTCATCATTGATGTTTCTCTCTCTCCCTCTCCCTTCTTCTCTCTGAAATTATTTTAGAAATATATATCTATATATATGTGTGTGTGTGTGTGTATATATATATATATATATATATATATATCTCGATATATATTGTTGACAGCTCAACAATGACTATCACTCTCATGACTGAGAAGACAGGCTATATTCTTTCCTTAGTAGTCTCTTCAAACAATACCTATGAGTCTCCTCCTATGACTTGGGCAGTAATACAAAATAATATTGAATGTAAACTGTAATTGAAAAATAAAATTTTAAAAAAATTAAAAATGTTAAACTATAAAAAAATAATAAATTTGGACAAGAAACAGCAACAGGGCAGGTTCTCACTGTGCCCAAACCACCAAACTGGCCTCGTATCTCCCTTCAGTCCTCTGGCATTTTACTCTCTTCAGTCTTCTCCCCAAAGGTCTCTCCCTGGGTGTTTAGGATTTGGGCTTGGAAGGTACATAATTAACAAACTGGCAGAGTAAACAGCCGGGTCCTGATGAAGAAGCTAACCCTGGAAATGCACTGCTTCCTCGGCCTGTCTCTACAAAATGGGCAAATTAAACAGAAGAGCAAGTTCCAGGAATTGAGAAGATTCACATTTTAACAGGGGCATGTACAGAGTAAACCACTGACCTCAAAGCAGCCTTATACATTTACCCCCTTGCCGGGGCCTTATTATGGGTGAAATATACTTCTTTCCCTCTTGACTCACAGTTCAGCCAAGTGATTTGCTACGGGATGCTAGCAGGCATGATATAAACAGAAGCTGGAAATGTGCTTGCGTGATGAGGCCTGTCTGCTTGTACCTTGGCCAAGACCATGAGAAGAGTATGCTCCGGACAACCAGCTGGTTAGAGGAGAGAGACATGTGTGGCAGCCCTGGAACCCACCCACAGCCTGGATCCAAGCCCAGGCAAACCTACTCGACCAGCCAGCCCACAGCCAACCTATACAGCCATGAGAAAATAAATGTTGTTTTAAGCTACTGGGTTGGAGTAGGTTCTATGCAGCATTATTGGAACAATAGCTGGCTGAAGGGTCAGATGGCAGAAATATGGGAAAGGGTTACACAAACCACACAGATACAAACTCATCCAGTAACGATCTCTTTCCCCATCAATTGCCAAGGAATGTTTCCAGAGGCACTGGGGAAGCCCCCTTCTTCGCCTCGGCCCTCAGGCACTGTCTTCCAGTGGGAGCTGAACACCGCCCTTACCAAAGGCGAGCAGAAAACCACCTCGGATCTAAAGCACAAACACCGCAGAGAAATCTAAACAGGGTTTGCGAGGTCAAAGGAAGGGAGTAACTTGAAATATCACGAGCCTTTCCCATAACCTTGAACACCTGGCACACACCGCATTTCTCCCTTCCTTCTCTGAAAGGTTAAAAGAATAAAGATAGTAAGATTTATGAAAAATGGCATTGGAATTGGAGAAGGATTTCAGCTTCGGGGCCCAGAATTACCTTACGAAAAAAGCAAAAGTTGCAGGTCCACCGTAGTGGGGCCCAGTGTGGGGGTCTGTGCAGAGACTGCGACCCCCGCTGGTGACAGGAGAGGTGAGGCTGGTCTCCCAGCTCACGGCCGGGCTCCCGCCTGTGCCAGCAGGCGCTGTGTACACTGGTGACTTTTCTCTGACTACCTTTCTCTCTTCCTGCACAAAAATCTCTCAGCCAAGGAAACGCTGAGGAAGTGCCTCAAAATAGTATGTTCTCATCAGAATCAAGAGGAGAGAAAAGAAAGCCTAGGACCATCACAACCCACCACCACTAAGAAGAACTCTGACTTCATGAGAAACAGTCTTTTTAACCCCCCGAGCAGACTGAGCTGCTGAAATGGTACAAGGAGAACTTGACATAATATGACACTAACCCCCCTTTCCGAGAGATGGTTAGACAAGAACTGAATGGGTAAGCCAGGCCTTTAAAAGTTTACCCCTATGAAACAGTAACTCAGTGTCCCATTTTCATGTGAAGGGACCCAAGTTAGGGCTTCTGCCAAGATGTGCAGCTAAACCCCATCTGTCAACCTCGCGGATATCAGAGGGGGATTTTAATTCTTTTACCTCAACAACCCTCAAAAACAAGCCTAGGACTCAACAGCCTCTGGATCACAGGCCCTCATGCATAAAGTCAGACAGACTCCATCGAAGAATGAAATTCAGTTCTGAACCTCAAACCCGGTGTTGCTGACCCTCAACAGACCCCACAGGTTTTCGATCAACTCAGCAAAAAATGGGAACATAAAGAAACGTGTATTTTGAAGCACAGAGTATGAGAAATGGTGTCCTTTCACGAGTCCTGCCAAAAATGCAGACCATCACTGTCTAGCCCTTGAGACATACAGGAAAAGTTCCAATAAGAAATTACTAGTTCAGCAATTTCTGAAGTCTGGCCATGTATGCACACATACTCTACAATATTGCCAGGGGAAGTTGTTTTGTTTTGTTTTTTCATTTAACACATCACTTTATACTGGGCATAACCAAAGCAGAAAGGCAAAGTGTATCCCCTTGAATATTACCTAGAGTTTAATATGTGACGAGTCAAAAGTGGACAAACTCCAACAACTGAAAGCAAACACCTCAGGTCAACATCACCTCTACGGGTAAAACGCACAGAGCCTTAGTGTCTAATAGCTCCCCTTCCATTTCTTCAGAATCAAACCAGAACCCCAGTCCCCCAAGAGTCACTAAGCAGTTCCACGATCTTACCTTAGGCAAAGCACATAACAGCCACATTTGAAGGAAAAAGAAAACATTTTACCATTTAAACCAGCACAGTAAAATCAAGGCACCTTTGTATAGTCCTTACTTTCAAAATATTTTGGGTTTCATTCCACTTATTTGTCCATTCCTTGGTCAATTCTTGAACCTGAAAAAAAAAAAAGTATACATTTGTGATCGCTCCATAAAAAAATATCATGATTTTCTTCTAGAAAGTTTCCAACTCTCATAGCTTTATGAAAAAAGATGCACTAAAATTTTTTTAATTAGACAGCAATTTCTATCCCTGAAAGAGCCATCACCAAATATGAACCCAACAGCTGAACTCATCCTACATCCTACGTTACGGCAACAGAAAGAATAGAAAAAAAATTTGTCCTCAAGTTGCCCAGAATTTTACAGGTCTTTTTAATGGTGTACTTAAAGAAAAGCTTCTGCCTAGGAATATTAACCAAAATCATAAGTTCAAGAGTGACAATGTCCCTTTAAATGGGTTAATTTTTCCTGATTATACTTTAGGTCCTAAGAAACAATGACTTACTTTCCTCTCTCATTACAAGTGTGATTAGATCACCTGGGATGCTGCAGTTTTCTTTTTGGAGATAATCTGCTTCTGTCGCTAATTAATGGGGTTTCTAAATCTCATTCTATCTTTAAAAAGGGGGGGAGCTCTTTAATTGACTCTCTTAGTAAAAGCAAAATCTTTTGATAAATCTTCCTTCTAGTCTGCTGAACTTAGGGGAGAAAACATATCCGGCCGTTGAACAAAGCACGACTGGAAGCTGCTTCTCCAAGTTAATGAAGATATCCTGCTAGTTCCATAAAACTTTAAAAATAATCCTAGTGAGTAGATCATTAAGAAGCAAAAAGTGACTCCTTATGAAAAGGTAGGGAAAAAATAAATAAATGAACACTGTGTTCTATGAAAAGGAGTATACCAAGGGCTAAAAGAGAGTGGCCTCTCGAGGCAGAGTGGGGGGAACTCTTGAGTCACAGCCTTTCCCCCCTTTACCCTGGCACCCCAGCCCCCTCCACTCCAACAGCAGACTGTCCCACCGGCCACGCCCCGGCTTCCCTATCTCATTTAACCGGCCAAAAGGCGGCACGAATGCATCTGCTTGCACTCTCCCTGCTGAGAGGGACATGCTTTCCTTACACTGCACATCAGGTATAGTGACGGGAAAGGGCTTAAATAACTCATGTCTGCAACCTTCCTAACAGTGTCTGTGACTGGCAGAGATGGAGGAACTGGGCTCTCGGTTTATCCCAGAGGAAACCCAAAATCTATCTCCCCCACCGAAACTGACCTGGTCATTCCTTTTACTCCTCAATTTACTTCTTTGTTAAAATAATATTTCTTCTCTTTCCTAGTAATGTCAAAATCTCTCATCTTCTTGGTAAAAAGAAGAAAAAAAAGAAAGAAAGAAACCTGACAACCTCTCTAATTTTTTTTTGCTTGTTTTTAATGGTTTGGGAAGGCTGTCCTGTCCTGATCTACCTGGAACCGGTCAGACACTCCAATCCTTCATCACCTGAGTGATGCCAACCCCTCAGACTACGAAGACATAAGTGAATGTACATGGGTCTCAGGGTTTTTGTTTTGCAGAAGCTTTCAGAGAGGGAGTATTCTTACACCTTCTCTCTGCACAGAAGGGGAGAGGCTAGTGTAGTCAATTTAAGAGATTCTCACTGGCAACCTATCTGAGAAACACAAAGCATTCAACAATGAATGCTTCTGTATGTCACCAACGTATATGTTCTCCCTGAAACGTAAGCCAATTAGCCCTTTTCCAATTCAATCAAATGATTCCAGCTTTAAACAAATGGTGTATGCCCTGGGTCTATTTTACTATTGAATATAAAGCAAATAATTTTAATTTACAAAATTAAGAAAAATGCAAACATATGATATCGCCTCTAACAATGTGATCAAGTAACAAAGATTTATAGCCAAGCAGATGGCAAACAATTTTAAAGGGTCAGCAAAAAAATAGGAGAAAATTTAGGAAATGTTATGAACAAGATAGGCAGTCATTTCTGTCACAGCAGGTGTAATGCGTTCAAATTAAAATGTTTATTGGTTCCGATTAACTTGCTAGGTATTCCTGGAAACTATTATTAAGAAACAATTTAAGACTATATCCAGACATTTCAAAGCAATCAAAATTAGAATCTGAACTACTGTACTAAATACAAAATTCCATGAGAAATACAGAGATTAAGAAACTGATGATATTACTAGTGCTATTATCAAATTATTTATCATAATTACCCAGGGAGGTGTCAGCAAGTTCCCAACAACCACTCAATTTATATCTTCAATACTGTGTATTCCTGAAAGAGTTTCGCCAACAGAACCCAGTTTCCTTTCAGTCTGTTTTAACCATTCAGAGCGATGAACAACATCCAATCCCTAAAATGTTCTTAAAGACCATTTCTCTTTTCAAACAGAGTTATTTAAAAAAATAAATAGTGTAGAACCAGGTCAGCCATGAAACTGGTTTTCAAAAAGCACCGGCGCCAATGCTGGCTTCAGCCACAACATCTCCAGGGACAATCTCTCTTCTGGTCACTCCCTGCCACTCTGTCCCTGCCTCAAACCTCACCTAGATTAAGAGAAATTAAGCCTCTACCTAGAGTATTTCAAGATTCCCCAAGTGCTGCTGAAAATGAAGTAAAAGAATGGGAAAAAAAAAACAACGGTGGACATGGTTGAGCCGGGGCCCGCTGCTGGGTCATGAATGCCGAGCACGAAGGCCTGGTGTGGGTTCCAGGGGCGCTTAACCATCCTGTGCCTCACAAACCCCATCACGTGCCTGACAAACCCCACTCATTCAGGCAGAGAACATGACGAGATACATAAAAAGCCAACCACTGTGCTTGTTTAAAAATTATCACGGGTGGGGGTGCTGGGCAGTGTTAAGTGCAATGAAGAAAGAAAATAAGTCTCAAATGCCAAGAGCATGTTAAAGTAATAGTGAAAGTTATGATTTGAAAATAACAAGACATCAAGGTATCACTTACTCTGGCCTCGTTCTGCTGAAGTTTCTCCTCCATACTTAAGGCTGTTGGGGAGTCTAGAAGGGCAATCTAGGATTTAAACCATAAGAGGGCAGCAGTTAGAAAACAGCAATAATCTAGAGTGAGGATTGCTCCGTGATATAGTAAATCACCACAGACTGCCAAATAAACTATTAAACAGAGGTAAAAAGTATTGTCCCACACCCCCACCCCTACCCCTCAAAAGTGTCAATCACACCACTAAGTCTTTACTCCAAGGGCTACATATCTCATAATACTCAAAACCATGGTAGCCGGTAAACCTACATTTGCACTGCAAATCAGCAAAGTGAAGAAAAGACGAACATGTCACATAACTGACATTTCCCCAAATCAAGTATGATCTAAATACCTAGTCCTGGATCCTAAAAAAAGGGTCTGTTTTGAATATGCACAAGCTATAAAATTCAAAACATAAAGAGCTTAAGTCTTGCTCAGCCAAAGGCTTCTGAAGCCCATCCACGTGGACACATGCAAAGCAAACTCCTTTATTTTCACTGCTGGGTGATATTCCTCGTATGGGACGGCTACACCACAACCTATCCACTCCCCCGCCCAGGCTGCAAAATTATAAAGACCGACATGAGAAAGATAAGCACCAAAGTCAGGTTAGAACTAGGATGGCCAAGGCAGATTGCAACAGGAGAGGCAGATGAAGCCAGGCTCATAACTCATGATCTGACAGGCAGGACACGGTGCTCCTCAGATGTCCTAAGAAAAAAAGAAAGGGGGACGTGCTCCCTCTCCGCCCCACAGGGCCGCCTCTATCCAATTTGCCCTGCAAACCTGCAATTATTGTGGTCATCGGCAAGCATGCTTTTGTTGTTTTTTTAAACATAAACAACATGACCATTATTCTGAATATTGTCTTTTTCACTCAACAATATATCTTGGGAAAAATTCAACACAAACAAAACCACTTCATTCTTTCTAAGAATTCCAGTTCCACCACAGAGTGGAATTGCATGGATATTCTATAATTTTCATCAGTGCTTTCCTATTAGCAGAAATGCAGTTTTTTCTAAACTTCTGCTCTATTGACAATACTACAATGACAATTCCTCTACTAGTTGCCTGCAGTACACGGTTGTAGCAACACAATACATTTCTAGGGGGAAACTTGTGCATCACTTATATGTATGATTTCTTTAATATCCAAGTTGTCCTCCTCAGAGACAGTATTTTTTTCATTACTATTTACTTCTCAATTTCTATTTGAACAAATATAATGCCCATGAGGTGACCTTACTAGGCTCAGTTAAACACTCAGACTGACAAGACCACCGTGGGCCACACTTGACATCTGTCTACTCAGCAGGAAGCAGGGCGGCCAGCAGGGAAGGGCCAGGGAATGGGGTGCTCTCTGCAGTGGTCCCCACAGCTCCTGGAGGACTGTCTCTGGCCCTCTTGAGGGATCAAGGTATGTGTGGGTCCCACCTTGGCTTAGAAGCCCACACCCACAGGAGCCAACATCTCTTGTAACAATGCCATAGGCATATCCTCCAGGGTCCCCACCAGGGACACACCTATTACAAGAGTCAATGCTCTGAGGGAAACCCAAAGCTATGGCTTCTCAACAGCACCTTCATAGCTTAAATGTTTACTTCAGATAAATAATGTTTTTAAAACATTGCAAAAGATCCCAAAACCAAGGTGTATAAATAAAAATGACTATTGGGGTTCATATCATAAGTTCTATGAGCCTGGTAACCTCACATACAGCTGGACTATTTGTTCTGACAGCTTCCTTTCACACACAGGACAGCTCCACATCAAAGAGTAAATGGATGTGGACGTGTTTTTAGTGCAACGAACAATCCCTAAGCACCTACTGTCCCCATCTGATTGGAAAGAATGTCAGATATATTTCAGGACACAGGAAACAGTGAGATTTTCGCCTTGTCAAGATTTTCATACGTTAAACCACAAAGGGGATGTCTAGGGCCTCATGGGCCATATATTCCTAGATAGAAAGCTGCTCTAGGGAGAGCACTTTGCATTTAAAGAAAACTAATTTTTAAATTATACACTTAAGACATCTATTCATAGGTTAAGAAAATAGGAAGACGTGTATCTTAATTTAGGTCTAACTCCAATCTAACTCAAACATTTTGAAAGGCTATCTTTGATTTTCTTTTAAGAGTGGCCTTCGTTACAAGTATCTAACCCTAGAAGAACCTAGCTCACACTATGGAATGAAATTCTGAATGTAAGCGCTGCAGATTATAAGTAAGTTTACTGTGAAAAACACAAAGGGACGAGGCTCCTTCGCTAGAATCCCAAAAGATCCTGAAGTGAGACTGTTTCAACATTGAGCAAGGATCTCAGCCAGGCCATAGGTGTGTCACACATGCCACTGTACCACCGTAACCACCTCTGTACAGGGCAATGCAAAACAAAAACTCAGAAAGGTGCTCAAACTAGTCTTTCCTTCCTTCTGTTAAAATACATTTTCAAGTCACAGAATGCACAAACAGAATTTTAAATGTAACTCCAAGCAAGCACCTCAATTTCCTTCCACTAAGAGAGATTATGCTAATCCTACTGCATGCTAAATTTCCATCCATAATTGATAACTATTAGTTAATCATTTCAGATTTAGCGGATAAAATCTTACTTACACACAGAGCACTTAATAAATGTAAAGCCAAGGGAAGGGTGATGTAAAGGAGAGACCAGGTAACTCATTCAAGCTTTACTTAGTACTTATTTACTCAAATCAATACAATAAGTGAGATAATTGCCTCATTAAGATCTAGAAATAGATGCCATTACTCAAAGAAAATTATCCATAAGTCGCGGAGAATCCCAACCTGATTGCCTTGAGCGAGCAGCGTTTTCAGCCTGGCTATCTCAGCTCGCAGCTCACGGATGAGCTTGACGTTGGAGTCCTCATTAATGGTAGGCTTGTTGATGATATTTTTGGCTCTATTTGCATAGCGAAGAGTGCTTAGGGTTTCTCCGTAGTTGACATCAGCAGGTGAAATGGCTGTGAAGAATGAATTAAAAAAATAATTTATCCAGCGCTCTGGATTTCATTTAACACAGAGTTGGTTTGTAATTTAAAAATCAGATCAACCCCAGGTCATTGGATAGCCTAAATATTCATTGCCACAGTAATGAATATTAAAAATTATCTAAGATTTATAGGAAAAGCACTCATTACACTAAATTAAATGTCATTTTGCACTTAAGTATAGAATCAGCCACCTAAGCAACTCTAAACTGGGATGTGAGATACTCCACTGTAGGTTAGGGAGCTTGTGCTGTTAGAAATACAAGAAAAAGAGGACTTCAGGACACAGTAGTGCCCCCCCTTCCTGGGGGATATGTTCTAAGCCCCCAGTGGCTGCCCGAAGGCACTGATCATATCACACCCTCACCAACTTCGTCACCTCTGCTGGGAATGTGGCCGCAGCTCCTCCAGGGGCAGACGCAGCTTCAGCAGTAATTTTTCTATTTTTCAGTCCAAACCTGTTCCTGAGCCTGTGTAACCATCCCTGACTTGCAGCGAACGGCTGGCGTGACTCGTTTCGGGGGGCACCTTGCTGAAGTCTGCCCAGAGGCTCGGTGCTTTCTGGCGCAGCACGTTGCTACCCACCGAAACACATTTTCGGTCCATGTCTTCCAGCCACAGCTGGACGCCTTTCCCCTCTTAACTAAGCACTGATCGCAACACTGCGGCCGTGACTTGCCTTTTAGGTGCGAGAGCAAAAGTAGCATGAATTTCCTTTTCTTCCTCACAATTTCACGGCGAGAAGACCCCTTCTTTCCGTGGGTATTAGCAACATCAACACACAATTTTTGTTTCTTATTAAATTGAGAAGGTTCACTTCTCACTTAAAAGAAGCACTTGATGAAGTCAGTCTATCTGGCATATCCAAATTACCAGCCTCAGGACTCTTGCGTTTTGGGGCCATTATTAGGTAACATAAGAGTGACTTGAACGCAAGCACTATGATACCAGGACAGCTGATCTAATAACCAGACAGCTACCAAATGGCCTACAGGCGGGGAGCATATACGGTGTGAAGACACTGGGCAAACGCAGGATATTCACGACCTGGCTAGGACCGAGCAGGATGGTGCGCAATTTCATCACTGCTACTCAGAACAGTGCACAATTTAAAACTTACTAATTTTTTATTTCTGGGATTTTCCATTTAATATATTTGGACCAACGTTGACCAGGGGTAACTGAAAACGCAGGAAGCAAAACCACAGATTAGGGGGACTACTGTATTTGTACTTCTCAGTATTAAGTAGAAATTAAAATATTTTTTATAGTTCTTTTATAGTTCTGGCAAAGTCTACCATCTATAAAAATCCAGAGCGTGAATACTTTGGAAACAGTCAGTATATCAGTTCGTTTTTTTCTTCATAAAGCTGTTGGTTAACTGCACCCTCCACCCCACCCCACAAACTTTAGGGCTTAGGTGGCTACATAATGCATCTGGGGTGCGCACCCCGGGGTAGATCCCTTGCCCAGTTAATACATGGCAAGGGGAGTCGGGGAGACATGGAGGCAGGGGAAGGGAAAGGAGGGAGAAAAGGGAAAGAAAAGTGGGGTCAGGAGGGAAACAGCTTTGAGTTCTCAACAGTCACCTTCTCTTTGTATATTTTTTTCTGTTCTGCTTCTTTTAGTTAATTAGTAAAAATACAGAAGTAAAATATATTACTATTATTACTATTTGTTATATTTCTTGGGTCTTTTCCCCCTCAATTCTTAATTTTAAAATTCCACATTTACTGCTTTAAAACTTTTAAGTTGGGTTACTTTAGGTCCCTAGAATGATTTTCTTCTGCAAGTTAGTGGAGTTAAACGTTTCTATCCTGCTCTTTAAGCAGAGGAAAGCTGAGAATCGTTCTGCATGTACCCCAGCCTGCATCACCATGAACATGGCAAGTTTATGGAACCAGTAAGAGAGAAAAAGAGCAACAGGACACTGCAAACTAGATCAGTTAGTTGTTTTTTCATGATAGAAAAGCTATTATTTTTCAACATAAAAAAGAAGCGATTTCCTAATGAGACTCCTTAAACGTAAACATTTACAGTTAATTCGCATGCAACACTCTGTTGAGGAAAAGAATTGAAAGTTCTTACTGGCAATCATGATAGTTTTAGAGTTTCCTCCAAGGCTATCTTTCAACAACCAAGTCAAAACAGAATCCCTGTAAGGCACGAAAACCTGCTTCTTCTTTACAAAAGGGGCTGCTGCATCCTGAGATAAATCGGCTGCAGGGAGGGGGAAAAAAAAAAGATAATTATTAAAGCCTTTCTCTCTAATTCAGCTCCAGAAAACCTTGAGGATATAACCTGAGTTTAAAACACAAACATAATTGCTTTGTGCTAATACAGGACCACAACAAATAAGAGGAGGCAGGAGACCGGTATAAACCTACCTAAGGCAGAAATGACGTTTCCCAGAGTCACGAGGGACTTGTTAATGTTCCCCCCTTCCTTGAGTCTCACCCCAGTGGCACCAGTGGCATCGGCGCGCTCACTTCCAGCAAGATCGACTAAGTGGATCTTACTCACGGTTTCGCACGGCATTTCAGAATCAAATTTGGCCTGTGGTGAAACAGAAAAGCAAAACCGACGAAGCATAAACGGCTCTGATGTTGGTAACGGTACACATGCTGATTATTTTCCACTTCTCACTATGATCTCTCAGCTTAGCTTTGGTTTTGGTTTTTAATTTGGTTGTTTCATTGGCCTTCTCATTGATCATAAAAACTCTCAAACTTAAACTGAATACCATAGGTGATTGCTAAATTTTCTGGAGCATATTCCATTGCTGAAATCACTCACTGTTTCTCAACAAAGGCTCACTGAGTCTGACTGCAGCGGGGTAGGAACCTAGGCACTGAGAGGCACAAGACAAAGAGAAATACAAGTAAACAATTAGCTTTGTTTTCATCTAGAACCTTCAGCATTCAGAGCATGATGTCTCTCCAAAACACAATGAATGTAAACAGTTATGTAAAAGATTATTTGACCATTATTTGATATTAAAACATCTGTTTAACAAATTATTTAAAAAGTGATCATCTGAAATACTATAGTTCTTGATTCCAAATTCTACCAAAACCTCACTTTCTCAAAGACTTTTAACCTACACTTTACAGTCTGAACCAAAATGCTAAAAAGAAATTGGCATGTTTTGACAGAAATGTAAGCCTCTTAGAAATTAGCAATAGTCACATCCTGCTCTGCATTAACTGGAAAGCTGGGGGGAAAACCACTAGAGTAAATCAAAGCAAAGGTCTAACAGAAGGTAAAGATGTGGAGAATTTATCAATTGACCTAAGAGAAGTTTTCTTTTTTTTGCTCTCTGATTCCCTCATTACAAAATGCTACCTTTTGTATCTGATGTGCTCAGTGGTCAATATAAGCCAGGACATCCCCAAACTCCAAACATACTATCAAGCCCTGACAAGACCCTACATTTTTGCATTCATCTGTTCTACTAGCCTAGGTGTCAAAATATGTACCTTCAATAATTTCCAGATATATTCAAAATGCCCTCCCCTGCCTTGATCGGAGTGAATTATTATATTAGTACATAAAAATGTTCCTTATCCTTGAGTATCACTCTAATAATCAGAATCAGCATTGTGGGGTGAGCTCCATGGAGCCATAATGCACCCCAACGACTTACATACCTTGGCCTCTAACTGGTCTGACTTGCAATCCACTATCTCCCACAGAGGTTACAACAATGAAAAATTTTGCTTAATTAAGCACAAAGCAAGATGTCTTGTGTTTTGTACAGGGCAGGAGCCCGCTAAATATTTCTTAAGAGTACATATCAGGACATTTCAAATTGCTGATCGTAACCACAGAGAAACTCAGCACACAGCACATGTTCACGTCTAATTAACAGGAACATGACAGTCAGTCACCTTTGCCTGCAGGCTCCTGGTTCAACAATTAGCTGGTGCTAATCAGCAAGTACAGACCTCAGGGACGGAGCCAGCTGGTCCCCAAATCTGCCCTTACCTGAGTGAACTTGATGGTGAAGATGGCATGAGACCTGCTACTGACGTCGTTCATCCCAGTCGCTGCGGTCGTCCGATTGATATTTCCTGCATCCATAAGTTCTTCTACGTCACCATAATTCTGTACTAAATGTTTGGATAAATCTGAAAAAGGGGGGGGGGTNGACCTGCTACTGACGTCGTTCATCCCAGTCGCTGCGGTCGTCCGATTGATATTTCCTGCATCCATAAGTTCTTCTACGTCACCATAATTCTGTACTAAATGTTTGGATAAATCTGAAAAAAGGGGGGTGTGAAGAAATCTTCCTAATATACAATAAATGGAATAAGAAATTTACCTCTATGAAATAAGACATGACTGGACAAATGTGTTGTTTGGAGATCTTAACTTGTTCCTAGAGAGGGGCAGCTGATAACACACTCAGGAGCGGGGCCTCCGGGGATCAAATCCCAGCTCTGCTGCTCGCGAGCGACTTACAGGGTTAGGGCCGAGTCCCGCAGCCCCCCGGGAGCCAGGCGTCCGATCTGAGTAACGCCCGCCTAACACAGAGATAAATGGTAGCTCCTACCGTCAGCCTCCGCACCAGCCTCCGCACGGGGAAGGGAGACGTAAACACTAACTTCAGGCAAAGCCAGAAAGCAATTTTTAAATCCTCTTTAATTCATTTTCTTGGGAACATTCCTATAGTTCCAAAGTCAAACACTACAAAAGGTATTCTACGTAAAGGGTGTCCCCCAACCCCTATCCTATAACCCTAACCCACACCCCCTTCTGCCAGGCAACCCAAAAGTAGCAGTTCCTCCATACCCTTCTGGAAATAACCCATACATAAACGGGCAATAAATATTTTTTTAAAAAAACATTTCCCCCCTTTTACACAAATGGCAGCATACCAAAAACATAGTTTTGCATCCTGCTTTTTTCTATATAATAATATATTGAAGAATATTCTGTATCCGTTAAGGTGACTCCCGTTCACTTGTATGGCGGCAGGGCATTTGCCGGCACGCATGAGCCATAACCAATTTAACCAGTTGCCCATTGAGATTACAGAAGTTCTTCATATTTTGTTTCCGATTACAAGTAACACTGCTACAGTCTTGTACACAGGTCTTTTCAAATGTGTGTAAATATTTCTGCAGAATGAATTCGTAAGAGGTGAAATTGCTGGATCAAGCACATTTGAAATCTTGATAGATATGGCAAAACTTGCTCCCCACAGAAGGCCATTAACACCCAGCAGGAGCAATGCATAAAACTGCCTGTCTCCCAACGCTGACATATCAGGCTTGCTTACATCTGCCAAAGACAGCTAACAAGTGTAATATTGAAGCATTTTTATTTTGCTTTTCTCTATGAGTGAGGCTGAGCATTCTTTCCTCCATTTAAAAATCATCTGTATTTCTATTTCTGTGGACAGCCTATTCACACACTTTGTTCATTTTTCTACTAGGTTGCTGGACTTGTCCTTACTGATTTATAGGAGCTCTTTATATATTAGGAACATTGGTCCTTTGTCTGAAACTTGAATTGAAAATATTTTCCTCATTTTGTAAGTTGTCTTTTTACTTTGCATATGGTTCTTCTGCCAAGTATAAAATTTTATTGTTTTACCACTTCAAATTTAACACATTTACTTCATGGTTTCTGGGTTTTAAGTCCGATTTTTTAAAGCCTTCCTTTCTCCAAATTTCTGGAAATAATTGACTTAATAACCCATATTCCCCCAATGTTTGAATAGCAAATGTATTAGAAACTAAATGCCCATGTGTACCTACATCAAATTCTGAATGTTTTAGCCTGTTTGACCATTCTGTCTCTTCATAAACCAGCTTTATAATATGTTTTAACACCTACTAGCACAATAAGAGGGAAAACATGAAGCACAGTTAGGCTAAATCTATAACAGCTATTCCACACTCCACAAGCAAATGCATAATCACACACCTTACTTTGGGCATAAAACGCACAAGTTCAATTGGAACTTTAATAAATGCAGATGGGGTCCTATTGGTTCACCTGATATCTGCAAGTAAAATGAGTGACCGTGACCGGAACATCTTTAACACCATGACCAGTTCTCAGCCTTGCCTCCAAAAAGACACACCCAAAAGATGACAGCCACACTCAAGCACATTCTTCTGTGTGGTTCCTACAGACTGGCCACTACTCAGATGCCTTACTCAGAATAAGTGAGAGTAGCTTTTTTTTTTCTTTTTAATAAGAAGAGCTTTAAATCCAGCCTATATTTAAAATAATTAGCAAGGGACATCCCCTTACCCATCTATACTTGTGACATGCCTCACAATCAACTGTGACACAGCCATCAGACCACAAATTCTGAGAGTCACAGCACAGGAAACTCTGTAAATGACCTTCTCAAAAGGCAAGACGTCTTAGCATCTCCTTCTGGTCATGTGTTACCATTAGTGTCAGTAAAAATATACCGCTAAAATGCAATGCCATTAAAAAAGACAGGTCATAGGGTTGCTTATCCTGCCTGAGAACACTGGAAAACAAATTGCCAGAGAGTTCTTAAAGCCAGAGGAAATCTATTGGCAAGCCCCAGAAAACCAGTGAGTGCCCAGTGAAGTATGAGTTCACTAAATAAACATTGTGTAGAAACAGCACGGCATTTTTACTATATTAAGCTGCCAAATAAATTAAAAAATTGTATCTCACCATCATCCTACTTTTTTCTTTGCAACTATTATTTTTGCACAAATTCCCAATAAGAATAGGGCTGTGAAGTATTCATTCTTACCCTCAACATAAGGTCCTTCTTTTGGATGCTCACGGACTCTTAAATTGAAGGTTTTGGATGACTTCCGCCTAAGTAGATCTCGTACACGTTCATTATAAATCTCTAAGTAGCTAAAAATTTAAAATAGAACTAAATTCAGAAAAATGATTTCAGATATTAATAACAGTAACAACAGCAGCAACATGCATTTATGGCCGCTAAGGATGCGTCAGGTGCTACGCCAAGCACTCTACGTGGAATGTGTCATTTAATCCCAACAACGACCCAGAGGTAAGGGCTCCGATTACCCCCATTTTATAGGGTAGGCAGTAGAGGTTTCGGGGGATTTAGACAACTTGTCCAAGGCCATGCAGCTACTGAGAGCAGCCATGAGAAGAAGAGCTCCTGATTGCTACGTCTGTCCTCAAAACCAATGAGGAGACAGGCTCCCAGAAAGGCTTAATTTCGAGGAAAAAACACCTCAACCATGCAGATATATTTAAAGATGACATTTTTAGTGATCCTACCAACATAAAGAAAAACACACAGCACATTCAGCTACAAGAATAAGGTAATTAACTGGGTATGCTGTTAAAAGTCAAAAGCTCACGGCATTTGAGCAAAACATCCAAAATTAGTGTTTCTGATGAATCTGGGTTATTTCTACCAGCCTCCCAAATCCTAATTCAAACTGTGCCCAAGAAAGTCACTGAAAACAAACATGTTTTCAGGTCTATATCCAACTACCATAGGTCAGGAGATAAAGGCAGACTCTCCCTCAGGAACCAAGGGCTTTATCCATTCCTGGTGCCTTAAAGGTAAGCTCCAGCCAAGCTCTTGCTCACTCCGGTCCGGGTCCTACCTGACTTCAGTTCGAAAAGATGCTTCGTCCCATCTGGTGGTTTCACTTATACGACTGAAGAGCCCTTCACATATCCGAGGTATTAAGCCAGAATCGCCCTACAGTGGGGAAGAGGAAGGACAACAGCTGTCACTCGAAACAAAAGCAACGGGTAACTGCATATGTAGTTGGCTGGAGTGGACTTGGACTCACAGGCCGGCACACCAACCCCAAGCCTATACCACCCGGTGCCGAGACACACCACTTGCTCCCCAGAGCTGCTCCCTACTCTCTGAAATAAGAGGGTTGGGCTTTCTGATTTCCACACAGTGAGATTATCAGCTAAACTGTGGCATGCAAACATAAGAAAACAAGATAGTCTACAGCTATAGAATAAATGTTAAAAGTCAGATCTGGACAAATGACCAAAGAAGTTGAAATGTACACTGTGCAGAAAAGAAACACCAAGGAAAACTTTGTAAACTCTCAAAAGAGCTAACAATGGTCTTAAAACAGGGGTAGGAACACATTAAAACACGGAGGACATCCCTCCTTTGATGCACTAATTCCTCACTGGCCTTCCCAGACAGGAAGACTTAATACATATTACTTATAGCCACGTGCAGGCATAACCAATAATTTCNGCCTTCCCAGACGGGAAGACTTAATACATATTACTTATAGCCACGTGCAGGCATAATCAATAATTTTCGCGTTCAGTCAGCACTAACAAGCTGATGAACGTCAGAATGACACGAAAGATGAGGCAAAACGCTGTTAGAAAACTGAAACTTCAGAGCTTCAATGTTTGCTTCTGAAGTCCATCTCCAGCTTCCCTAGATCCCCTGCCCAAAAAACAAAAGAAATGTCATCACAGCTTTAAGAGATTTTTTTCTTTATACCATTAAATCAGTACCAATTTTTACCAAGGAAAAAGAGGCCTTTTACTGTATTTTTAGTTCTTGCTTTAAAAAAAAATTTTTTTTTTTAAATATACAAACAGTACTCAACTGTAATTTCAGAGCAAACAGCTATAGTTTATGAGTGCTTTATTAATGTTTAACTTACATAAGACAGCTCCAGGGAAATTTAATTTTTAGATAAGGTTAGTTTTTCAAAGGCACAGGAGAGCAGGAAGAGAAAATTAGTGACAAAAGGAAATGCATGTGTTGGTTCTTTCCTATTTGCTCTTCCCCGCTTTTGGCACTGAGGACTTTCTGCCCAGCATCTATCTACTGATCACGTCAAGGAAAAGCCTGGAGTTGGAAGCCAGGACACATGTACTGAACACTGTCACCTGGGGTGACCAAGCCTCCTTTACTGCACTACTTCCCTGCACCGGCGACCCGTCAGCACTAAAGGCACTGCTGTGCCCACCGCAGGAAGCAGCGATCCTCTGCTAGCGTCTCCATCTAGAACATGCCTTACGTCTGAGATCTGAGAACCAGTGAACAGTTTCACCATGGCATAAAAAACGTAAAACATAACACTATCTAGATCTGGAGAAAATACAACCAAGGTCAAGTTCCTGCAGTAATGCCTAGTTTTCACTCCATATTCTGGGGCAAATATAACTTCCACGTTTGTTAATTTATATAGCATAATTACTAATTTCTACATACTATGTTTATAAACATACACATGCTATATAAACTGTATAATTCTAACCCTTTTTATGTATTTGTTGGATTTATGTAATACCTTTCTACCAAAGATATATATATTTTTTTTTACATTTTTCTTGGGGAAAAAATGTTCTGAATAATTTTAAAAAGAAGATAGTTCAGTAATTTTATTCAAACTGTTGTGTTGGCAGAAAAGAAGAATAAATTACTTGAGGGCCCCGGATGCTTCTGTGATAAGATTATAAAGCCTTTAAAAATGGGAAATGAGCTGAGGCTGCACCCAATACTCATGCTTATAAACTTCAAACTATTTCCAATTTAAAATCTCTGAAATGAAATTCAGTGCAACCTATTACTGAGCTTTATCTTATTGCTAAAGAATGGTCAGAACATGAAAAGCAAGTTAGTGCAGACCAAATAGATAAAGAGACAATGTTGTTAGTCCAGAGAGAGATTAAAAAAATGCTCCTCCCACAGTGTGAACAACGAACCGAATTCCCCATCATCGTGTACGACTTTCCCGATCCAGTCTGTCCATATGCAAAGACACAGGCATTATAACCTTCAAAGGCGGACTTCACGACATCTGTGCCAAGGGTTTTGAAAACCTGAAAGCCAAAAAAAACACAAAAGATATTACCATGGATTTTAATAGAAGCCCCTTCGGTGTTCACAATATTCTTGAATGCTACTTTTATCTCAGAGGGATGACACCACATCGATAAACCACTGCAGAATTAATAAGAGAATATATATGTGTACCCCAGTTTCTAATGAAAAGGGGACTTTTTTAAGCGAGCAAAAAGCAACCCTCATCCCTTTTCCTACTTACATAGACAAACAAATTCCTTAAATATAAAAATGTAAGCAAAGCCAAGTGACAATCATGTACAGAAGCAAAGATCATTCAAAGCATCATGATTTACCATTTCAGAATTAAATAAGCTTATAAAGTTTTTCATTCTTTCGGGGCTTCCAGAAACTAAATATTCAAAATCTGAGGTTACTGCCCAAACCACGCCAAATCAATGCGATCATTTTAAGGGTCCAGCTATTCATCAAAATAAGTGTCTGGAGGTGAATGAGGCAGGATGGCTGGGCTCCCCGGAGTCAGTCCAGATGCTTTTTCCTATTTGGATATTTGCCTGCGATGGAGAGGACATGAAGCCGCGTGGAGCTGTGCGGGGCTGTGTGAAGCTGCGTGGGGCCTGTGTCCGTGCCTGCTGCACCACACACCTGCAGTGGGACACTCTGGGGTGAAGGGCAAACACTTCACCCAGAAAACTGATATAAATGAGGCAAGTCAAGATGCGTGGTCATCCTAGTTCCACCAGCCTTGCAGACAGATGCCCAGCAGCCTCACGCTGCCCCGCCCTCTCGGACTAGCACGCGAAGGGCACGTAGAGCGCCTCCCTGCTTTAAAAATGAGGCACATCAGCAGCTGAAGAGATGCGATCAGGTCCTCAGTCAGAGTCAGAGGGGTCACGCCATCCAAGGTGGGAACCTCGCCACCCCTCCGGAGTGCTCGGTCCCTGGAAGGGATGCCCGGCGAGCAGACCCATCGCCCCCCTGCAGGGATCTAGGGTCCCCTGGCCCGGACACCCAAACCCTAGAAAGGGCTGCTAACCACTGGCCACGTCGGCCTCAGCTCCTCAGAAACCACCCCGCTCGCAGCAGCCTGTCAGCCAAGGCGGAGATGAAGATACAGCCAACTGGACTCCACTTTCTCCAGGCACCATTTCCCTGCCATTTTGCTGGGACTCTTTTTCCTCAACCTTGTCAGTCAAAGGCTTACGAAGTGTCATTTCAATCGTGTCATTTCCACAAATGACCATGTCACTCATTCTGAGTTCATTTTTATCCATTTCAGCTTTTAGGAGCTGATGTTTTCTGATCTTATTTTCAAATTCTGATGATGGACGTACTCAACTCTCAACAGCAGCTCACACTGTGCTCGTGCATTAGGCCTCATAAAAATGCTACAGGGTGAGCAGTGTCGCTGGAGCCATTTCTCAGGGCAGAGGTTAGTTCACTGGGCGAGTACAGCGAGTGGCAGAGCTGGGACTGGCACCGGGGACCTTCTCACCCAAAAGCCTGTGCATCTAAAGGCCTCAGAGCCACATGTCCTCTGCCCATATGCCCAACACCAACCACAAGGCCCCCATCCTACCAGGGAAGATACCTCCCCCCACCCCCCAAACTCCTCTGAAGCAGAAGCCAGGAACCTCAGGGAGACTCAGGGCTCCAGGCCACCCATGGGAGGTTCGTTTTCACCACTATATATGGAATGTGAGGAAAAACTCTCAATCTTTCTTCAATTCTCTCTGATGAAACAAAAAGTATGCATCGTTTCTCCATTTCACAGAGTGCCAATGGGCAGGAAGAATAGCCTTCCACAAAGTTCCCAAAGAATAAAGGAAGGAGCTCCTCTTATACTTTTGCCTGGGCTAAAACAAAGTCATGGAAAAGATGTTTAAACCAAACTCAAACACTGTCAAAATGAAATTCTTCTCCAGGGTTATAATCCACACCCACCGTTTTGCTATTACTTTACTTTCCACTGAGCTAACAACTGGAATTCTCTGACAGATGGTGGGGTGGGAAGCTGGGGCTGGTAGACAAGACTGCAAAATAGGCCTACACAATGCAGATCTGGAGGCGCTGAGACCCAGGCCGGGCTCAGTCTCAGCTTCAAGTAACCCACACAAAGTTGGCTTGGGACCCAGGGAAGCAGCCAGACACTGCCCACATCTCCAAGGTCCTTGGCAAGGAAAAGAGGCTACCTATCTATCTACCCATCGCAGATCCAAAAAAGGAGATTTTATCATCTTTTACCAAACAGCGTAGGGAAGGAAGGGCTGCTTTAAGAAACTGCTCTCCCCTCTGGCATCAGACCCCACTGAGGTCCTCGCCTGGCCAGGTTATCCAAAAGCCACCTTGTCGCCTGACTAAGCAGACTTAGAAGCTGATTTCCAGAGTAATCCCAAGTATCACGGGGCCTCACTTGAGGGGAATTGCCCACAAGAGGGCACTGTTAAAACAAAAGACTCTTCTACCCAGCTTGTCAACTGGGAGATTTTAGATTTCAAGTTTCTCCAGGGTGGAATCAAGAAACGGGGCTGTGTGAGATCAAAGCCTCCCTCTGGAATTTTGAAGAATCATTAAGAAAATTAGACCTTATTGAATGGACTTTAATTTACATGAGTTTAGCTTTAAATAGCTCATTGATTTTTTTTCTTCTAAATCTAAAATTAATTTGGAAGGAAGAAATATTCATGGTCATCTTACTTGGTATTTGTTTAGCATTAAGGGAAACTTGAACTATAGTAACAGGCATAATATATTTTCTCAAGATGTCTTTAATGCTATTTATTTATTAATTTATTTTTTAATCCTTACCTGAGGATATGTTTTTATTGATTTTAGAGAGAGAGGAAGGGAGAGGGAGAGAAATATCTATGTGAGAAACATTGATCGGTTGCCTCCATAAGCACCCAGACCAGGGACCAAACCCACAACCTGGGTAGGTACCCTGACTGGGGAATCGAACCCAAGATCTTTTGGTGTACAGGATGACGCCCAACCAACTGAGCCACCCGGCCAGGGCAAGATGTCTTTATTTTTTGTATTAAATTTGTTGGGGTGACATTAGTTAATAAAATGATATAGGTTTCAAGTATGTAATTATATGATACATCACCTGTATATTGCATGTGTGTTTACCGCCCAAAGTCAAATCTTCCGTCACCATATATTTGACCCCCTAGATCCTGTACTCACCCCCAGTCCCCTTCCCTCTGGTAACTACCATACTATTGTTTGTGTCTATGAGTTTTTCTTGTTTATTGATTCAAAAGGGCTGCCCTATCCGCCTGTCATTTAGAACACACCAATCCTTTTATACCCTATATATCAGCCCCAGGATCTCAGCTCTGCTACTGTCAAGTCGATTCTGTCTATGGACTTGAGCAAGTTATCTGAGCTCACTGAGTCTCTTTGATAAAGAAAAATGGAGCTAAAGTTGACCTCATTTGGTTCTTGTGAAGATTAAGTGAGACAGTGTACCTGAGCACCACCCAAAGTTTCTGACACCAATATAAACTCGAGCAGCATTGGTCCATCTTTCCTCTCCAGACGCCGCCTTCATACCAATCTCTTTCACAATCTGTTTCTAAACCAACTATGTTTCTCAAATGTTGAGGTACGTGTAAATAACCTGGGGATTATGCTAAAAAATGCAGTTTCAGATTCAGAGGTCTGAGAGAGGTCCTGAGATTCTGCATTTCTAATATGTTCGTCGGCAATGCCATGATTCAGGTACATGGACACATCAAATTGCGAGAAACCAGACAAGATGCCATCACATGGATCGCAACCCAGCACAGGCTGGAATTCTTATCCTTGTAACCCATGAAGACCTGAGGCAGTTAACAAGCCAAGAAGAGGCCGAGCCATGAAGCCCATGTTCTTCCCCCCACACTAGTGCTTCCCATATCCCCACTCAGCTCAAACACCCTCCTTGACCCACCTACCTAGAGAAATAGCCTTGTCCTTCTGCTCACATGAAGTGTCAATATACCATAGTTTCCTGGGAAGATCTTAGAGTCTGTTCTTTCTGCCCATGTCATATCTACATTTCAGACTATAAAGGCCTATAGTACAGGTTTCTTGGACAAACTGCAGCTTTACTCTAGGATGTATAAATCTTTTGGACAAATGTTCTTTCTTTCTAGAATCCTTCTTTCCAGAACCTGTAACGATCCACGCCAGCAGGGGAGATGTGGCCTGTGTTTGAAGTCTACTTCCAAAAGCTCTGCCCTGCACAAGACTCAGAGCGAAGTGGCTCATTTGCCAAGATTAACAGCATAACAATGTCCCCCCAGAAATGTTTTATTTGCAAAGCTCCTTCAAAATAGTAGCGTCAAAGTTTTGAAATAAAAGTTACAATCATCATGCTTAGAGGTTAAAAAAAAAAAAAATCAACCTTCTGGGGATTGACTTCTCAGGCTTAAGATAAGTGGTGCTATATAACAACCAAAAAAGCTATGTTAGCCAAGACTAATTTTATATAAAGTATATTCTTCAAAAATTGGATGTTTTAAGAAGTTTAGGGTAGGCATGTTTTCTCAATATGAAAAATAAACCAAAATAAAGATTTTGAAAATATCTTACCATTTCTTGTGAAACATAATCTGGACTTTTTGTATCAGCAGAATAAAAAGAAAAGTCGTAAGTGAAGGTCTTGGTCCGTTCTCTCCCTGAGTCCCCTGTCCCTCCTTCTGGTATCTAGAGAGATATAATTATGATTATGATAATAATAATAATATAGGAAGTAAAGAGCACTGTCAGTTGACAAGTAATCTAAAAATTTTTCTTTGTAAAAAATGTACAATGATCACCATTTTTCATATTTACATCCTGAGAAGCATTTAACTCCACCACCACCAAGAATAAATAAATCCAGGGTCAATCCATGATATGACCCCAGGCAACTTTCCTGGGCATTTTATCATGATTGCTTTATATAAACCCAACACTCCAGCCAGACTATTTTATCTGGTCTTCAGGGCTTTTCACTGTTCCCTCTACCCGAAACCACCAGAGTTGGGGTCTGCACAACTCCAGGGGGTGCTATTCAGATGATGCTGATGTTACTGAAGTCTCCAAGAGTTTCATGATTTTGTGGCACCTTTGAAAACTCCAGTTCAGATGCTTCCTCTTCCATGAAGCTGCCCTTGGGCACTCTATCCAGTACTTCCTCCCACCTCCGAAAGCCTAGACTCTACAAGACGTATCATATTATTACAAATGTTTGCACATATCTTGTCTACCTTGCTCCATACCTAAACTGAACCAAAAACCATGTTTAAAAATATTCATAAGCCACCACAGCTTCCTGGACACATGCTGAATAAATTCAATGAGCATCATATTTTCCCAACATAATTCAGGCACTATAAAGAAAATTTGTTAAGGTTCTTGTTATTAAAATGTTAAAAGTCTGGGCATATGTTCCGGTTATATCAGTTGAGGAAATGTCTGTAATCTCAAAAAGCAACAGAGTAATTCAGGAAAATAGATTCCACTATGTACGAAGAAAGAAGGCCTCTCTGTTTCAGTAAATACAATTTTTAATGATTAAACTTTTTTTTTGCCAATTACTTTTTTTTATCTTTATTGTTGAAAGTATTACAGATGTCCCCTCCACCCCCAGTGATCTCCAAACCTCTACCACAGCACTGTGAGTACACAAAGATACATGAAGCAAAGCAAAGTAACTAAGAGGAGGGAAGGGCTAAGTGGGGACTGGCAGGAATCTGAGATGTGGGAGGTCAAAGGAGGGAAAGCTAAGTGTGGGCCAAACAGAGCTAGAAGGTACAAGGATTGTGGCCAGTGGGCATTCCACTGGAGAATGCCTTGGGCAAAGGGCCATCAGAGCTTCAAAGGAGGCCTATCAAATTATCTAGGGCGAGGCCCAACTGGAAGATACAGCATTCCCCAGCTTCTAGCACTGGAGATCAAGTTGCACCACTTTGAAATTAGATTTCAAAGTGTCCGGTCCCTTGAGCCACAAATTAAGAGAAATCCAACCTGAGACTGATCTGCACTTGACCAGAGAGGAGCAGGCTTCAGAAATGCAAACCTGTACATTTATGACAAATATCTGAGAAAGGGGATGAGTCCGTAAAGCACATGACTTATTATTAACATTACACCCTTAATTCCTCCCCAAGTAAAAACTATTCAGAGACTTAAAAATTCACTGATCGAACAAACAAATAGGATATTTTAAGTGCAATAGGAAGAACCTGCCATCTTAGAAAATTATTTTTCCAATTTTTTTTTCCAGAAAACAAAATTCAGTGTTTTTATCTTTCATCCCCTGAATTTTGAAAAATAAAACCAGCTCCTCTCGCAAAGTTTATAAACATTATTTTTATTAAAAATAAAACAAATCTAGGGCCAAAGCTTATTTAATAATTCACAAAATATAGTCAATGGCCCAGCTAAGGATCCACCCCAGGACACAGGATAAAAATGCCCGGGTCTAGACTAAGCCAATGAACTCACACACCAGAGCGACAGCTTGGGTCTGGTCTTTAGATCAAATGAAACCAGGGATGAGAGAGGAAACGGGGGACCAACCCTCCTGCTTCGTGACTGAGCCCCAGCCAAGAGCAGGCGGGCATGGCTAACTGACTGAGAGAGGAAGAGCGTGGCAATAGCAGTGGCATTTCATTGATCCACGATTTGTTATAACAAACAAGGGGGCTCATGGGACGGGAGCAAGGTCAGGTTGCTACTTGCCTTTAAGTTTGTGATTACTGTTTTGCTTTTCTCCATTTGAATAATGAATTTGGCTTCCAAGTCCTTTTCCCTGCAACACAAATAATGCAGTATGGTTAGGAGAGAAAGGTTTGTTATTAAAAAAAAAAATTGTGTTACTTACATTTTACATATGGGAATTTGTTTTTAAATGGCATCGGAAGCACAATCACTGATACAACTCCTCCCAAATCCTTACTAATATAATCATAAAGCCGTGCAAAAGAGATACCACCATCAAAAACGGAAACAGGCAAATAATGAGTTGTCAGAATCTAGAAAAATGTCTAACTGTAAGTCACAAGGAGTGTGAATGAAATGACAGAAACTACGGAGGGCTGTGAATCATGAAAAACGCAGCCCCACTCAACTGGTTATAAAGAGAAAGACACTTTACCCCTCCACCCAGGGTGACAGCTAAGAGGAAAACTGGAGCAAGTGGTCACAACCAGAAGCTGCTTCCAGAAGCAGCCAGGGCACTGCCCCCTCCTCCCACCTTCTTTCTATATCTACTTGGAAGAGGGAGTCAAAAGGACGTCTAAAAAGAACAGTTCCCTAGAATAAATGGCCATGTCCACACAAGGGAGTGTTAAGTCATTGAAAAACAAATGAAGTGGAAGTGGGGAGTGCAAGGTGCCCCACCACCAACAGTGCCAGGGGCAATCAGCACAATCCAGCCTCTGGGCAGGCTGACGGATAAATGAACTGGTTTACTCAATAACAATGGCAACCAGCTGCAAGGAATGTAAAGATGCCAGGTAACCTATCAAAAAAGACTTTAAAGACACAACCAATTGGATCTCATAACTCAAACAGAAAAGGCTTTTTGAAGTTACATGTAGAGAAATGTTAACACTGACCAGATATTTGATGATATTAAGGAATTATTATTACTATTTTAAATGTGATAATGGTATAATAATGATTTTTTAAAAGTCTTAACCTTTTAGAGATACGTACTGAAATATTTACAAATAAAAATGATATGATGTCTGGGATTTACTTCCAAATAATCCAAGGGTGGAGGAACCAGGTGCTGACAGCTTCCTGGCCACCTCAGGATGACCAGAGAGAGAGAGAACACCTAAACCCAGAGAGCGTGCGGTAAACGCCGCTCAGAAGCCACAGCGGATTCACACAGGCCCCACTTCACTTTCTCGAGCCAGAGTAAAGAAGGTGTGCCTGGATGAACAGAGCAACGGCTCTGAGGACCCAACAAATGAAACCCCTTCCACGTGCAAGGTGCTTCCACTCCTGCCCCTCAGGGACACCCCACGTTCATGCGGTCCTAAAGCAAATACTGCACAAACGGGCCCCTTTCCCGCAGCATCAACTACTGAAAGTATATCCTGCGCAGCAAGAGAACGGCACGGGTGAAGCTAACAGCACAGCCTGCCCCATCTGAATGCCTCCCACGCCCACCTGGGCCTTTCTCAGTCACTCATAACCTAATTTGTCTAGATCTCTCATTCTAAAACCACTATTATCAACAAGTAGCTGTGGGGGCCCAGAATTACCCAGGGATCTAAGGAGATTAGAAGCAACCCTGATAGGTGACCACAGCACTTGTCAATTCCTGTTTATAAAACACAAAGCCATGCAGCTGCTACTATGCCTGCCACCGGGGCTGGAAGCCAGAGGCTAAGTAACGCCACAGCTCAGGGCCTGACACCTGCAGAGGTGTAAGGACCCCCCACGCAATCGTTTCTTATAACCTGTTGGTAACCACAAAAGCGCTTTCCTACCTTTATATTAACATCCATTCTATAAAAAATACGAGGAGAGATGCTGATGAAAGACCGCTGTGTAACGAGAGCATCTTTCTATCAGCACTCCTGAAATCAAAACTGAAGATGCCAGGTGGGTTTCAAAGCGTTCACCGCCTCCCTGACACTGCGTGACTCGGGTGTGGTGGTGGGGAAGGGGGTGCAGACAGGTTCGCTGTTCTGAGGGTCTCTAGCTTTCCTCAGTTTCTCAAAAAGCTCTGTGTCCCAAAAGACAGGCACCCCAGCTCAGACCCTTATGAGTAGCCCAAAGTGTAGCCCCGGACCCAGCAGCAGCAGCAGCCCCGGGGAACTCATTAGAAATGAGGGATCTCAGGCCACAGGGCAGACCTGCTGAACAGGGGGGAAGCTGCACTTTAACAAGAGCCCTAGGAGATGCCGATGAACACTAAGGTTTGAAGGCACTGCTCTGACATTATATTAACACAACAGAGTGATAACTGGCCTTACAATTACTCTCATGAAATAAACTCCACAATGCTCGTACTCCGTACACTTGGAAACTCACTAACTTTGTACGTTGACCCTAATAAGTTTACTTTTTAAATCGCATGGAAGAATATGGGTATAACTTACGTCAGCTGATACTATCTCCACCCTCTGCTCTTAAATTGTACATTAGCTTCTGACCAAGAGCAGTAAATGTCTGACATACTGGATCTAAGAAGTCACCTGAGTGTCATCACATCCAGCTCCCCTCACTCTCAACACTCGGCCCAGCTGTCAGCTTCCAGCCCTTTCCACCCCAGACCGATTCCCGTGTCAGTGCAAGGTCGCTGACAACAGCTTGAAGTCATTTTTAAAGTAATCACAGGCCACCAAGATTAGACAGAGGCCATCTGCTTCAGAAAGGAAATTCCACAGATAACAATTTCGGAGAGTATCTCTTCTTAAGCAAAAAAAAAAACTAAACGAAAAAGTTGTATCTTTACTCCAAAAATAATTGCTAAGAACAATATTTATAACAAAGATGCTAGCTAGAGTTTTAGCCATAGAGAGCAAATCTCACTCTAGTTCCTGAAAATACTTATGGAAAAGCCAATGTAATCTCCACAAAGCAGTTATGAAGGGTGGAGTTATTAAATGTTGAAACTAACCCTTTGGTACATTCAACAACCCTTATAGATTCCAGGAGAGCTGTCAAACTTTTACATATTTCAAAGATGAAGGGAAGAAGAAAGTCTCCAGGCCCCTCTTCCCCCCCACACCCTACTCTCCAATCCTGCTCAGCCCCCTAAACCAAGGGAGACTGGTGACTGCTCATGGCCTTCCCTTCACCCCAGGTGACTTCAGGGTCCATCCAAGAGCCTTACCTCCCACTCCCTCACCCCACCCAACATTCAGTTACCTATCCCTGTCCAATCTACCCCCATTTACCGACCTCGGCCACATCTCCCCACTCTGTAGGCACTGTCCATGTCGGATCACCATCACCTCTCCCTAGTCTCTTTGCGTCCAGCCCTGTCCCCTCCTATCTACACTTCACTGTGTTGTCCGAGAGATTCTTTCAAAATACGCATTTTACCATGCGGCTCCCCTGCTTTAAATTTCTTCAGTAACTTCTCAAAGGCTATAGGATAAAATCCAGCCCTCTGTGGCATACAAAGTCCTTCGTGATCTGACCCTAACTAATGTTGACATTCAACACTGTCTATCCTAGCTGCTATCCTGGCCAACTCCCGGCCATCCGTCCAGACAGCTGAGACGCCACACCTTCGCATGCCCTCTGCCCTACCCCCTCGTTAGATGGCCCACCTGCTTGTCTCACCCACCAGGTCATGAACTTAAGAGCAAGGACTCTGCCTGCCTGGGTTCACATCCCCAGGCCCCGACACAGTACCTACAACTGAGGCGCTCATAAAATGGTTGTTGAATGTGATGGGCTGACGGACTGAAAGGCTGAATGAATGGTTCTCACCCCAGCCTACTCTTCCCCACGTGCATCATCTACTTAACACCAAGTCCCTCACTAGGCCCCTAGCATCCTTTGTTCTTGCTCCCACAAACTACAGTATCTTCCCATCCACACTCTCAGGCAAGGCTGCTCTCGGGTCCGGTTTGACTCACCGACCCTTCACACACCTGCTGCTTAACCCGCTCATATGGGTTTTACTCCTGCTGATGTCATGCCTCCCGTTAGTCTAGAGAATCTCAGAGAAGCAAGAGCCCAGATTCCTTCACACCCCACAGCCTGAGTCCACCGAGCACAAGCGGGCAATGTTCACAATCCCCGCTCAGTGCTCTGTCTCAATCCTTCAGCTGAAAACTGTAAAACGCCAGGCACTGCGAGTCCCCCGGCTCAGGTCAATTTCCTCTGACATTTAAGAAACATGGGAAATAAATCTTGACATTTTTCTCATATTGAGGAAAATAAATAATCCTAAAATATTATTTGAACATTGATTCGATAATAGAGCGAAATGAACTACGTCTCTCCCTGGCCACTTTAGGGAATTGGGTCTCTCACCCGAAAAGCCAATTATGGCCCCTTCATATAAATAAGTAATTTACTTGAAAGGGCTGGAAACTAGATCATAAGATGCCACAAATGAACCAGCTGGAGTAAGTATATGGAAGTACAGGTCAAAATTGGGGTGGAGAGATAGAGGAAGGAAAGAAAAAGATGTAAAATATCCAATCTGAAAAAGAGATAAAAATTATATCAGCTCTCAGGTCTGTGAGCAGAAGAAAGCTTATTAGGAAAAACAACCCTATGTTAATTCAAATATTTTGAAAATGTTTTAAAATTATCCAGTAATTCTAATTGGTTCCATTTGCTCATTGCTGGTATCCTGGCCACTCCACAATAAACATCCTGGCTGGACGGTGCTGAGATTCCCTAACTGAGCCATTAGCTTGGAAGGTTCTAAAAACGGGCTTATGCACCCCGAGTTCTGAAGGAAATCAGTATCCCCCAATTCACCTTAAAACTTGCAAACTATGAATCAATATTTAACTGCCTTCATATTGCAGGACACTCAATAGCAAAAATAAGAAACTCTGTTTTAAAAAAGGACATGTGGCCTCCCTGGGTACTACTGTGGAAAGAAGCCCAAGAACACTATTGAATGGGAGACAGAACAAGCAGCAAAACAGCATGCAGACCATGCTCCAGGCTGCTGCTCAGTAAGCGCAGCAAGGCAGAATATGCACATTCATGCTTCCAGGCACCCGAAACATCTCAGAACATTCCAGAAAGGATGACCAGGCAGCATTAGCGGTGGTCACCTCTGGACCGCAGGGGTTGAGAAAATGAGCTGAACATCTA